CTTCCAGACAGTGTAGCGCGCATCAACAGCGACACCGCGCGTCGTAGCAGACTGAAAGAAACACGTGAGAAACACCAAAACACGTGATTGGTTCAAGATACTAAGAAACAGGTAGGTCAGATGTTTTGAGTGACGCCCAAGCACCGCCCAAGTCATAAATCTGACGCATCGGTTACATTTATGGTTACATTTCTCAAGACCCACGTGACTATTGTGATAAGTTTTGGGGTGGGACTAAATGCGACCCCCACCGGACACGATTTGGTAGCCGAGGTCTGTGACGTCAGCTGGGCGTGAAGTTTTCCCTTCACCATAGGCTTTACACACAAATTGGCCAAAGTTCATGCCAGGATATCTCAGTCTGGAAGTGCAAAAAAGATTAAATCTTGGCGTCATTAGATTCAGTGTTTCATTTTATATCTGTAAACGTCCATTATTAGGCCTCAAAGAAGGTACAAGTACTCGAAATCGAAGTTCAAGAAGATGCTGTCGTGTGCATGATCTGGTAGCATCACGTGTTCTCTTTACAGCAGTTTATTGATAATTTCAAAATCTAGTTACACGATTGCTGCTTCAAACAACATAAATAATACATCTTCAACATTTATTACTTCCGTTTAGGTCGGGTCCGTATCAAAGCGTCCAAGACCGCAGCACCCAAAGTACGCAACATCCAAAACCGCAGCGTCCAAAGTACGCAACGTCCAAAATACGTCCAAAATCGGGTTTATAGGGGGCATTCACAAAGTCCAAAACCGAAACATCCAAAACCGCAACTTCCAAAAACGTATCATCCAAAAAACGCAACATCCAAAGACGCAACATCCAAAGTACGTAACCTCCAAAACCACAACATCCAAGACCACGACATATCCAAGGCACGCAACATCCAAAACCAACCTAACCTAACCTAACCTAACCTAACCGAACCTAACCTAACCTACTGATTTTTGCCTATCCCTAACCCAACCTAACCTAACCTAACCTACTGATTTTCGCCTACCGGGGATAAGGAAACCCAACCTAACCTAACCTAACCTAACCTAACCTAACCTAACCTAACCTAACCTAACCTACTGATTTATGCCTACCGGGATAAGGAAACCTAACCTAACCTAACCTAGCCTAACCTAACCTAACCAAACGGGTTTGGATGTTGCGTACTTTGGATGTTGCGTACTTTGGATGTTGCGTACTTTGGATGTTGCGTACTTTGGATGTTGAGTACTTTGGATGTTGCGTACTTTGGATGTTGCGTACTTTGGATGTTGCGGTTTTGGATGTTTCGGTTTTGGACGTTGTGAATGCTCCCTATATACCCGATTTTGGACGTATTTTGGACGTTGCGTACTTTGGACGCTGCGGTTTTGGATGTTGCGTACTTTGGATGCTGCGGTTTTGGACGCTTTGATGGTCCCCCGTTTAGGTCACAACATTGCAAAAAGCGAAGATCACCACCGTAGTCACGTGACCAAAGGTGTAGCGGGGGGTTGGGACAAACGCTTGAAGGGTTCTAATTTTTTAAAATAAATTATATAGTTTTCGTGATGAAATTGAAAGATTGTAATTTTTCATTACATAATACGAATTTTCGTATGTGGGATATTTTATTTGTAGGCGGAATTCTCCACATAAAAAATGATAATGACGTCACGGGGGCTTTACTCAAACCAACTCAAAACATCGGACCTACCTGTTTCTTATAGGTATCTTGACTAAATGCTTACTTCGAAATCTAAGCTACGTTGCGGCATTGGCGGTTATGTGCGGCGTGTATGCCGCATGATTAGTAAGCGGCGACCACTAAATTAAAGACTCAAACGCTCCGACCGGTTCTCAATGAATAACACTGCATACCAAAAATGCCAACCGCTCTCGTCATAAGATATTCAGCTTTAAATAACTAGGTTATCTACATCATCATTTTGAACCAAATTAATACTTTCAACTTAACTCACTCATTCCTTCCTTTGTTGTCTCCAAACAGTCTTTCGATTGTCTGGAAATCGTATGCTAAATCCCGGGTCTGTATGCGACTGGTGCATATAAAGGCCGATAAAACTTAAAAGAATTTGAATAGGCTCTGGCATGCGATTTCCTGGCTACCCAAAAAAGTCTGTTTCAGTCTTGCTATCAAAACATGACCTCGCCCGCACAGGGGGGGGGGGGTTGATGCAACCCCCTAAGGTTTTTCGCGAATAACTCGCTTAAAAAGCGGCTGATCGCGACGAAACTTTCAGTACCCTCGCATTGATCAATTTAAAACCCATCCTGAAAATTTCATGACCCTGACCCAAATGACCTTTGACCTGTGACCTACTTTTCGAGACCATGTTTGGCCGGAACCGCGATTCAGCGTATGTCGGCTCGCATTAGCAGCGCGTTTGCAGTCTTTTCGTGGTTTCAAGCGTTCAAACATGTGATATGATGTTGCCCCCATGCATTAGGGTGGGTGTCAAGGTCACCTGAAGGTCAGGTCAGGTCATTGACCTTTGGTGACCTCGGTTCACTTTTTCGAGTTTGACATGTTTCTAGGTCAGTTTTTTTCGAGCTGAATTCGAATTAACCCGCGCACCGACGGGGGTCTGCGCCAACTTAGTTCCGACGGGGGGGGGGGGCGGATAACCGCCCCCCCCTGAGATCTCGAGAACGAAGCAAGATAGCGACAAGCGGTAAACGGCATCGGATACGCACGGTCAAGATCTACAATTTTTACTAAGGTCATTTTCAGGTCAGGTCAAAGATGACGTCACAGGGGTCGAAAAATGCAAAATGGCGGCGCTAGATATGGAGAGAGTTTTTCTCGAATAACTTTCGAATTAGTCAAGATAGGAGCAAACTAAGGGCATCATCGTGATCCTCTCGTCAATCCGCATCGAATGATATATATGTTGACCTCGAAAGGTCAAGGTCAAAGGTTGACCTCAGGTCACGTGACCTCGAGGTCATCATGTATATCATTCGATGCGTCTTGACGAGCTGAACACAATGAGACCATCCACGCGGCTGTATCTTGTTCCTGTACGGAGTTATTGGCCAAACACCTTTGGTGACCTTTGATGACGTCACATGACCTCACAGCTGCTCAACAGCAAAACAGACCTCAAGGTAGTGAAGGTTGATCGTATATGAAGTCATGTATGGTATATGGGGCCATTCCGACCCGTTTTAGTGGTAAAAATAGGGAGTTGATTTTTCCCCCATTGACTTATAATGGGGAGGTCGCGAAATTGACCTGACCTTAGGTCACCGATATCAAAATTCCGAGATATACAAATTGTAGTTACTAATGACCTTATAACATCCTGCGACTTTCAAAGGCCTCCGACATCTACTGTAGCTCTGGCACGGTGACAAAGTTGCAAAAAAGTGAATTGAGGTTGGGTCATTCAAAGTGACCTGGTGACCTGACCTTAAAAGGTAGGAGGTTCAAACTTGCACACCATGGGTAAAATTGATGAGGGAATAGTCATACCAAATTTCGCGGCGCTACGCGCCGCGGTTTTTCCGCTATCCGCGAAAAACCTCAGGGGGGGGGGCGGATATCCGCCCCCCCCCGTCGGTGCGCGGGTTAAGCAACCACATGAACGTTTACAAAGTAGTTTTGGTGCCTTCGTAACATGTTACGAGGCTGTCAGAGGCGGTTGACACCTACTACAAATACCTGGCAGGACCTCTACTGGTTGACCTGACCTGACCTAACCCGACCTGGCCTAAATGAATGAAGACATCATCTGTGATCAAAACTAGCATGATATTCGTGATCAGCACCCCGAAAAACCCCATAGCAGCCACACTACGACGTTCTAACAGGTCCCAATTTTCCCGCCTTTTGGGTCATTGACCTGACCTGGAAGGTCAACCGATGACCTAGGACCTTAGAATTGGGTATCATCGGCTTTCTCTCGTCACGGGCAACACGCTCGTTTTTTCCGCGAAGCTCTAGCTTGATCAGGAGCGAAACGGCAAGGGGTTATACCTTATACGTTCGCGGCTGAGTATTAATTTGGTTCAAAACAATGATGTAGATAAGTTAGTTATTTAAATCTAAATATCCTATGACGAGAGCGATGGACATTTTTGGTATGCAGTGTTATCCATTGAAAACAGGTCAAAGCTATTGAATTTTTAATTTAGTGGTCGCCGCTTACTAATCATGCGGCATACACGCCGCACATAACCGCCAATGCCGCAACGCAGCTTAGATTTCGAAGTAAGCATTTAGTCTCACCCTAAGTTTTGTATTTTGCAATGTTTCTGCCTAACAGAAATTATTAGAACTTTACAATTAATTATAAATGTTGTTTAAAGTAGAATATGAGTACCTAACTACGTCTTAAATTATGGATAATAAACTCTAAGCAGTTCACGTGATGCTACCAGATTCTGTGGTCAGACAGCATCTTCTTCAACCTAAATTTTCAGCACTTTGCACTTTATTTGAAGCCAAATGATGGGCGTTTTGAGACACACCATGGAACACTGAATCTAATGATGCCAAAGTTATATCACTTCTTGCTAATATGCAGACTGGGGTATCGGATATCTCATATCCTCAATCCTGGCTCAAACTTTGGTCAGTTTAGTTTATGCATAGGTGTATGAAAAACTTGAAGCCAGTTTAGTTTTTCGTCAGATGACTCGGCTACCAAATCGTGTCCGACTGGGGTTCACGTGATTGCCTCGCCGGGCGTGTTTCGTTTTTGCAACCAAGGAAAGGCGCTATACCCGGAGATGCTCTTTTCCAACCAAACCAGTCCAAACCAAACCTAACCTACAAACCTACAACCGGCCAATAGTTTCTGTGGACGACCGGCTGCGAACCCGAGACCCCTAGATCAAGAGGCATGCATGCCACATGTATGTACACTGTACATACAGCAAGTAGCGCCATGAGTGGTGCATCGGTTGCATATGGGTTGGATGTGGCAGAGGCCGCTGGAGGCGGGAACAGGTGGCGCCACAGTTGGCCAGCTCCTCGAGGCGCCCAGGACCGGCCCGTCGCCGTGGCCGCTCGCTCGGTGCGGTCAGTCGGACCTCGGCGACGGGCGCGGCCGTGCCTGTGCGGGCCGCTCTGGTGTAACCGCCCCGACAGGCGCACACAGCCCTGAGGCTCCTATGGCAGTGGGCGTGCGTTTTTAGCTCCGAGATTGCTCGCGGTGCGGCTGTACAGGAACTGAGACTATCATTTTGCGATGTCAGCGAGGCCAATGAAAGAGACCAAAGCCTGAGGGAAGTGGATCTGGATTAGAGGATCACCCCAAACACCTTTCTGCTGTTCCGGTGGTCATGTGCACTGACTGTGTGCCCGACATGACCTGACCTGACCTGAGCCGGTTGGATGCTGGAGGATTACGTTGGGGACCTGACCTGACGCGAGGTCACAGGTCACCAGACGATGGTGTGCCGCTGGCCGTGGTCTCAATGGCCTGTGGTGGCCACTCTTCTTCTGGTGTGGTCACAATCTGCATTGTTCGGTAAGACAAATTAGCGCAACTAGCTTTATTTAGAGATGATGTGGCAGGACACACATAAAGTGACACTTCTTTATGAGTTAACAATGCGGTACAAGCGCATGAGTAAGCTCAAAGGTGCAAATGGCAAGTAGGTATAGGTAGTGTGTTACAAAATTAGGCACCTTGCCAATGTAGGAAGGTACCTATGTAGCCTACTTATAATACGGTCTACTGTTACACCTGCTAATGACAACAACAGCTAATAACACCAGCTAATGCTAATGATACGTATGTGAAATTGCGTGATTTAACCCGGCAGTTGCTGGGGTATTTCGCCACCCACCGTTTGCTGGGGGGGGGGGGGGGCGTTAAACGCCCCCAGCCGATAACTCGAGAACCAATAGGCGCAGCGAAACGTACGAGGCGGCAAACGAAAGAGCGCGACGAGACGCTTCAGATGAGTACTTTAAAGTTGAGTTTTGAGGTCACAGGTCGGGTCAAACACCTGAAATCGGCCTTTCAGTAGCATGGACTTTTCAGGACTTCGCAATGGGCGCCTCTCGTCATAAACTCTGTCAAAATGGTGCACAATCCGTCGTATAAGGCCTACAAGAGTGTCAGCTCCATGTAGGGGTCAGTCAAGCATAGGTCAGGGTCAAGGTCAGGTCAACCGGGTAGGCACATATCCCCGAAAATCAAAACTGATATTCGCAGCCCGTGACACATGTTTTATGGGTAATTTGGGGCGTAGAACACGATGGTGACATTCATTTTATCATATGTGTACGTGTTTGGCTCAAAAAGTTAAATTTAAAAAATGCATGTATCATGGTCGTGAAGTAGTCACGAGAAATTGCCAAGATTCAGTTCAAGATTTTGGAAAATGCGGAACGATAATCAATAATCGAAGATAGCCATTTGATTACTCATGGTATTGGCAGTCTAATGGCGTTTACGGCATGTCTGTATGTCTATTCTGTGATTTTATATGATTTTTTGAACATACGCCGTTTTTGGTCGAAAATTCAAAAATCATGACGTCACTAAAACCTCGATATCTCAAAAAAATTTCCGACCGATTTTTTTTGAAACTTTGTCACAATAAACTTCAATCAATTCCCTACAGGTACCCAAAATTTGGCGCGCCTGCGGCGCGCCGTTTTTATGCTATGGCCCGGCGAAAAAAGTGGGGGCGTTTAACGCCCCCCCCCCCCAGCAACTCGCGGGTTAAGGGCACAAGCAGATACCATTACCACTGTATGTGTTGAGCATGCCCATTCGCCACCGTCGGCGGAAAAAAATGTTTGTGGATAAGTCAAGGCCCTAAAACGATAGCGAAGTATGTTCATGTAAGGGTTTCAGTTTGATGCCAATGCCCTAATTAAAAATGAGTAACGTTTTTAACCACTGTCATACCCAGTCGATAAACAGCATGCACTGGGGGTTAACCCCACTTTTTATGCCACTTAAAATGCCACTTTTTATCTTTGATGAAATATGTTCACGCAAAACTCTCGACCCAAGAAAGATCGGTGCTATCCCACAAGTCTTTTTTTCTCTCTAAAGATCGCTAAGAACACATTTAAGTATAGAGATGAAACACTGAAAATGCGCATACCTGACATTTAATTTTATATGGATTTGTTAACAACAACTGCACTTTTAGCTCAAGTCAGGTCGAGTAGGCATGGACCTGTGATTTCATTAGTATACCTACCTATGCAGTATGCAAAGTTAAAAATATCATAATTTTGCACCGCCCTAATTGCCCGGGTGTCTTACGCAGGGACAACCTTTTCCAGAGGTCAACACCCTAGACACCTTTCCCAAGCAAAAACTGCACCATTCGACGCAGCGGAGCATGTCGAACACGATGTAATGGTGTCAAATCGCTATCACACCTCTATATAACCACTATCAGCGACCAACGAGATTATTTATCGAATGCCCTGATCCAATCCAATTAGTGGTAAAGTGATCTTGGATTCGACCTCATTGTCTCTGACTTGACTGCAAAGGCCCTAGGCTGACCTAGGACAAAGAAACTGGGCAACATTCTCACTCGTAGCATCTCGTAAAGCAGAGATGCTAATCATCAGTGTGAAGGCACCTGCTTATTTCTCCCATTGCGTTTGGGATTAATTAAAATAAGCTATGCACGAACTCCACAAGTTTCATACCGTGCCCGGCAGCACTGTCTCCGTGCCCTTTTCAGAGTGGTGTGAAAAGGCTCAATGTTGTGACAATGGCACGGCACCTGGCATGTGCGGTCTGAACGGTGTGCTGGAATCCCGCAGCAACGATAAAACCGAGGAGCATTTTGCTAATGGTGAAACGCTCGTTTGCAACCGCAGGCTTTAGTCAATTTTCAACCCGTCACGGACACAATATAGGCATAATTCGTTGCATAATATTAGACATTCCGTTTGAGCATTGCGTTGACGTCGTTGTTTTACAACTAGAGTACATAATTTTTATTTTCCACGGTGTTATGCACATTGCACATTATACAAACGGCCCCGGGCCCACATTCACAATACAATGGTAGCGACATATTGGCATATGATCAGAAGCTCTCAAGAACATTTTTTGGTATGAAAAGCTACCTTTTGTTTCAGTGTTCCGCTCAAATCAGCTAGGTCGAACCTAACAACCTGTTTGTAAAGTTATAGATGCGTCGTGTAGAACGTATCCAGTTTTATTTGCTTTATGTCCTAGGTACAGTCAGTCCAATTGATCAAGAAGTCATGGTCGTAGTCATGTCATGGTCGTATAAATTCTTAATTTCATCCTTGATCAGACACACTCAAATACCTACCTACATGTTTTGGAAATTACTTCTAGGATTTTTTTAACATGCAATTTTGGTAAATAATGTAACTTTATCAATTACGAATCATTTACACCCACAAATGCTACTTTGCCAAAAATGCAAGAACTGGCGTTTAAGGAATAAGGAAATAAGGAATAAGGCGATCAGGTGATAAAGAAAATGTGTAGCGCGAGTTGGTGCACTTGTTTCTTGTAAAAGTGTCACGAATCACGAATAATACATATATTACGATCTGGCGTATAAATTTGATGCTCAGTTGAGAATGTTCACCTCGTTTGAGGCTGCACCTGTAGGTAATGGTTTGAGGCTGCGCCTCAAGCGTAAGGAACCTATTCGCTTCTATTTGTTGTACTGTGTGACATAAGCACAGTATTCGACAGATCGTACTTTGGTTGCCCATGACTTGCACTTAAAAGTTTTTTTTCAATGTCTTGCCTGCTTTATAGTAGAATCACGGTCAGTGAACAACGATAGAAAAAAAAAACGAAAAAAAAACGATAGGTCATTTCTAATACCAGGGGCATTCCACGATAGATCGTACCAGGCCCGTCACCCTCATCTCTCAGATTTGAATGAAAATTGGTACAAGGGGTTATCATAGGCTCCAAAAACACCTGCCAAAATATCAGACTTCTCAGATGAAAACTTTTTGAGTTACATTGCATAATATTTTCTTAACTTCAGATTGTAAGGGTGAGTTTGATGAGCTATAACTCAAAAACGAGCTAAGCAAGCAACAAACGGTAAACAGCTTTGAATTAACGATGAATCAAAGATAAATACAGTATTTTTAAAATTGGAAAGAAAAGCTTTACATATTGAAAAAAGTCGTAGTATTTTTTTTAATTGTCTATAATGGCCCTTGGGACCAAAATTTTTGCCATTTTCATTTCTTCAAAATAAACCTCAGGTCCTTTAAAATCGACATGCAAAAAATTAGAAAGGTGTTCTTTCTATAAGTTCCTCATTTAAATGTATACAAAATGGGTTTCCGGGGGGTCGGTACGACCCCAGCTCGCCGTTTCGCCTCTAATGGAGCTAGAACCTTGCGGAAAAAACGAGCATGTGCGCCGTTACAAGATGCATCGAATGATACCAAATTTTAAGGTCTCGGGTTCATTGGTGACCCCTGAGGTCATTTCAAGTGACCCAAAATTACGGGTCCGGTTTTTGATAGATAACTTCGCAACAAATGGTCGCAGAGCCGCGATTTTAGCATCTTTGTGTTTGCCTAGCTCCGGCGCGTCGAATGGTATACTGTTTGTTCTGGTGAAGTCAGCTTAAGTCGCTGACCTCGGGTAAGAACACTGCCGTGTATTTGGCTCCGCGCCCCGACCGGGCGGCCCAGCCGGCAGCCAGCCCCCGGGCATCACGTGACCGCCCCGAGTCCGCGGCAAAGCCAACCAGCGCGGCGCTGGACAAACAGCGCCGCTACAGAGATGGTTAACAGTCGGGTCAGGCCACGAAGCTGGGTGAATGAGATCATTTTGCACATCATTCGATTCGCAAGGTCTTCCCGAGTCCATTGGTAGCCTTCCCGTCTCTCTAGCTCATTTTGATCGAGAGTTATTGACGAAAAACTCTTATGACCCTAGTGACGTACGAATGACGTCACGCAAGGTCAACAACGCAAAAGTGAGGCAAAGATGACTTCAATTGAACTTTCCAGTAACCAGTGATGTCACTAGGCAGCTTTACCACACCATTTGTAGGCTCTCTTCCAAAATCACAATTCGAGACCATTACGGTGACGCAAAATAAGTACATTTATAGAAAGAACACCTTCCTAATTTTTTGCATACTACTTAAAAATGATCCAAAAATGTTTTTAAGCAAATAAAAATTCAAAAAAATTTGGTCCCAAAGGCATAAAAATGCAAATGAAAGGAAACTCGAGGTGTTATATATAAAAAATATTATAAATTTCAAAATTTTAAAAATGCATATTATTCTTTGTTTCAATGCAAGTTCAATGCCGTATAGCATTTGGCATTTGGATTATCCGTCTTAGAGTTACAGCCCGCCAAATTTGGGGCTGCAACGCAAGATCCAAAACATGTTATACACTATAACTCAAAAACCACTCGTCTGATAAGCCTGAAATTGTTACAGGAGGATTCAGAGCCCCTGATTACCCCTTAGACCAATTATCGTTAAAATCCGAGAGATGAGGGTGTCAAATTGGAAA